AAACACCATGGCAGGGAAGGACGGAAAGGCAGCAAAATTGCGCCCAAAAAGTGCTTAATGTAACTTCTGAAACCAATCGAAAAGAATGATTTTAGCAATTTTTTCCTCCTGCTGCTGCTGCTTCTGCTCCTGCTGCTCCTTCTGTTCAAATGGCAGCTCCCGGATGGGAAAACACCATGGCAGTGAAGGACGGAAAGTCAGCAAAATTGCGACCAAAAAAGTGCCTAATGTATAACTTCTGAAACCAATAGAAAAGGATGATTTTAGCTACCTTTTCCCTCCTCCTGCTGCTGCTGCTCCTGCTCCTGCTGCTCCCTCTGTTCTAATGCTAGCTCCCGGATGGGAAAACACCATGGCAGCGAGGGGCGGTAAGGCATCAAAATTGCGCCCAAAAAATGCCTAATGTAACTTCTGAAACCCAAAGAAAAGGATGATTTTAGCTACCTTTTCCCTCCTCCTGCTGCTGCTGGCGCTGGTGTTGGTGGTGGTGGTGCTGCTGCTGCTGCTATTGCTGAAAGAAGAGTACCAAAAGCACCTCCCGGTGTGGCAAAGCTACCAAATCCACACTGTTCACAGGAAAAGTCCAAACACAGGGGCACTGCGGCCGTCAATTTCAAATGGCAAATGGGACAATGTCTTATCACAGGAAAAGTCCAAACACAGGGGCATTGCGGCCGTCAATTTCGAATGGCAAATGGGACAATGTCTTATTCCCTGGCGCGCTCCCCCTTGCGTCTGCCGGGGTCGGCGGATATAAAGTGTCCCAACGTTGGGCACTGGCAAAAGTGTCCCAAGACTTCCAGGGACACCGCTCGAAACGCTCCAACACCACCTACTTTCTGGTCAAAATAAGAATAATGAATAACGTCCTTTCCAAATATCTAGAAAGCAGACATTTGCAAGCTATGTGGTGAAGCTTTAGCGTTCCAAGATGTTCCAAGGCTTTATATAAGGGACATCACTCAAAACGCTGAATTTCGTGCCAAAAACGTGCCAAAAGAGAACCAGAAAAAAACACCAATAATGTCCCTTCTGAAGCCCTAGAAAAAGAACATTCTGCAAGCCGCGCGGTGAAATTTAAAAGCTTGAAAAACTGGATCAGCAACACGTACAAAAGGTGTCCCAACATGTCCCAACTGACACCACTGGAAACGCTGAAACACCACCTAATCCAATCATTTGCAATAAAATCCCAAAGACTCTAAGGGACACCACTCGAAACGCCCACAGACAGCATTCAAAACATGTTGATGTTGTTGCTGTTGCTGTTGTTGTCGTCGTCGTCATCGTCGTCATTGTTGCCGTTGTTGTCGTTACTCTTCTTCCCTTACACGCTCCCCCTTGCGCAGCCGGGGTCGGCGGATATGATATATGTCAATATATGTTAATATGTGATGCGTATTGGACCATTGAATATTACAGGGATCAAGGTTCATTGACGGTAGCTGAAAACTGCGGAGGCCAAGGAGGTCCCGAGTTCCTCGCGGAAGTCACTTTGGTACTGCTTTGGTACAGATGGTACTGGAATACCACTGGATCGTTTTTCTGGATAGTTATTGTTTGACTGAACCAAAAACTGAAATGATGGTCTTTAGATGTTTCTATACTTTTGGGGTATGTTTTTGGTCAATGACGGAGACCTGCCAAGAATATCAAGACGTGAATCAGAGGAAGAACCAAGGCCGGTGGAGGCGCCTGTCCGTACTCAACCACCACCAGAGGAAGTGGCGTTGCAAGCTGCCAAGGTGCCGGGGAGAGTTGAGTTGATCAACTCAGATCAACTCAGATCAACTGAGGGACACTGGGGGTAGGCCAGGGAAATCATAGTAATTACTTAGTAATTCATCATCTCCTATCATATTTCGATCTATTTTCTATCATGCTGTGCCATTGTATTAGTTGGTCAAGTAAAGTAAAGTTTGCAGCAAACAGTTGCGCGACTTTTTTTGTTGCTCTACCAGGCCGCCGGGCTGACAGGCTGGGAAGCAAGAACATGTTTTAAGTGGGTTCTGGTTTTCTTCAGCGAATTCTATCTTTTTTGCAGTTGCCACAATTATTATCAATTATGTTCATTCTGGGTCATTCTGGGTGACCTTCAGTGACGAAACTTGAGCCAGGCCTGGCAGCACAGAAAGCCGCAGCTTTGGAGGTGTCAGGGAAGCCACCTGGAGGAGCAGATCTGAACCTTTCCATTGAGGAGGCCGGAGTGGGAGTGGCCTAGCGTCCACTGTTTATCTTTAAAGCCAAGCATGATGTTTGGGTGTAGCGACGGGATTTTGCTGTATCTTGCATGGTGCTTTTCAGGACATCAAACGTCGCTTGAAAGCAAAGTATTCTCCAGAGTGCCCTTTCTGCATTTACAAAGATGTGTGGAGCTTGTCATCATTGTAGTCAGTCTGGAAGAGAGTGAGGGGGCCGTATGTACTGTGGTTGAGGTTTGTTTTCAATCCTTTTAAGAACCACATGGAAGTTTGTTCAAGCCCACCAGCAGGGATACAACCAATTCGAAACATATCCCGGCCAAGCAACTTTTTTTAGCCACAGTAGTGCCCCCAGACCACCAAATCAGGTACTTGGATGTCGAAGATCAAGGCAGAAGAACGGGGTAAGAAGGGATCCAGCTTGATAATTTGAGGTATATTACTGTAGGTGCTCAGCCAGCTTGCAACAATGTAATGATGTTTTTGGACTTTTAGTGTGTTTTTTGCAACACACCAACTGTCCACCAGCCTTGATCAGGCAACAACTGTGGTGCGTCGAAGGCACAGGGACACCACAGGCTTAGGCTGCAGCAAGACTGCAGCTTCATGATATTCTGTCAGGTTGCCGTTGTGATGGTGAGTGCAGCCTTTTGCCCCTTGGCATTTCCCAGTCCTTATAGATGGATTTTTAAAAAGCAGATGGCAAGAGCAATGCGTGGAACTTGACTGCATTCAGCATCTTTCCTCTCCCACTGTGAAAGTGAACAAGTTTCACATTGAATGAGATCAAACTGATCAAACATCAAACATCCAGCATTCGGATCTCTTCCCATGGACGGCTTGGCGGCCGTGCTGAGGCGGCAAGAGCCGAATCAATCGTCAACGAGAAGTTCAAGCGTTGCTGCGTTCCGAGCTGAGAGAGGTCGCGGTCGCCGTGGTCGCTGCGGTCGCCGCGGTCGCCTTCACACCGGTGCGATGTGCCTTCCAAACCAACATACGATGTAAACTAGTTCTTTATATTGTAAATATCGTAATTTAGATAATATTGTAGATACGGTACTAGAGAGTTATCACATTTTATTACTATATGTTGATATATGTTGTACATGATTATAAATAACTCTCTCAGGTAGTTCCCCAGGCATAGGCCACAGGTTGTTGCTGCTGCCTGCTGAGGCGAGGATTTGGACACGGGACGGCTACATGCCTTGTCGCTCAGGCTCAACACCCCAGAGGACAGGGATGAGACAAGGTGAGAGGATACTAGAGGTACCCTGTAGAGCTACCTTTGTGATCCTTTTGTCAATAAAAGATAATTTATGTATCACAAAGGTATCTCAAATTAGGTGACACAAGGTTTTGTATATCACAAGGCTAGTAGTGTGTGTCATAGGTTTTGTGATGTTTTGTCTACTGATATGTTGGCATATTTTTGGCATATCTTCGGCACTTGTCAACATTTGAGGGTTCCAACTAGGGGGCAAAACGCCCGATCCTTTTCGCCGCTGGCAGGGAAGCAACATACAGAAGTGTGTTAGACTTTCTGCTTTGCGAGGAATACCAGAAGCTCACACAGAACCAGGGCAAGTGAATTGGGGCTAGTGCTTACTTTGTGAATCTTTGTGACATTCGCCACTGTATCTTGATGGCTGTGGCTGTAGCTGGAGATTACACCAACGTCCTGTTGCTGTGTCCACCCCGATTGGCTGTCGGAGAATTCCTTTGATCCACGAACATCACTTGAACGGGTTTGTTTGAAAATAGGGCATAAAAATTATACCATGGCATACCCCAAAGTGATTAATTTTTGTTAGTCTTGAAACGGCAAAAAGTATCAAAACATCATAAAACATCTATCATGGTTCCTTCGAGTCTTGATCAACGGGGGAGGCTTTGCCCTGCTCAATGCAGAGATCCCCATCTTGTCGACATCGGATCAAGAATGTGGTAGCAATGGACTCAACAAAATTGGTAACTTCTTGGGACAACGCACTATAAAATCATCCTTTTTTTTGGGTGTTGATAATTGTGACCATTCCCAAATATCAAGTGGAAGCATGATGAAACACATGTCTTTCAGCTACTTCACTTTGGTGTCATCGCAGCACACCGTCAGCAAAGACTGCAGGGCACAAGACATCGCCTGCATCGCCTGTGCAGCATACCACGTTCTGCTCAATAGACAGAAAAGAGAGACCTTTGAAACAGCTGCCAAGAGACCTTTCATGTCTAATCTATTGAGTCTATATTGTCGGGTGAAACCGTGAAGCTGTTGTTGTAACAACTAAATGACATGAGAGGGGTGTTTGTGGGAGGGAAACCCTTGAACCAGCTTGGCCTGGGGCCATTTTGGCTCAAGGGTGTGATTTTGAAATCCCATGGCCTTGATCTTAAGTGGGGGATCCGACCTGACGGCAAGTTCAAGCCCATCCGAACCTTGGTTTGGGGGCGTTTGGACTGTGATCGGGGTAGCACTTTGCGGTGCTGTCCTGGTCGGTGCCATCTTGGGTTGGAAACTTCACTCGTGGGTCAGCCATTGGAATTTGCGCACCCGAGGATCAGCCGGTCACCCGAGCACGATTGGCTGGCACCATCTGGTCAGTCGAGCCTTACGGTTTATCCACCGAAGGAGAACCGTGGCATTGGCTTTCCGCAACTACTCACATCATCAGCTACCTTCTGTGCAAAGCCCTCCTAGGCCAAACCAAAGGAGGCGCAGGGTAGCCACTCCCGGACCCAAGGCAAGTCCGCAAGGCCCAGTCTCGAGACAGGTGTCGTGGAGTGAAGGTCCGGTATACCATGGATCCAACCGAAGAGGAACTCAATAACCTCAACACCTTGGAGAATGCAGCCGACTGGGCAGGCACGACAGGTGCGGTCCACGACCATCTCATGGAGAAGTTGGGCAAACCGTCCAAGCTGCGGGACCTGGTGTTCATTGCCCGTCCTGCGTGGGATACGGTGGTAGCCAGCCTCACGATCAAAGAGCCTCAAGCTGATGGTACGGAGGCCGAGCGAGACTTGACCCCTGTGGAATTTTCACGGGTCGAGATCTTTCGCCGGGTGGTATTCCTGAGGCTCAAGGTCAATCCAGATGGACCTGGTGGTGCAGGCCCTCCTCAGCCGATTGTGGGAGCGGCCCCATTCCCAGGCACTGGAGGGGGACAAGGGCCATCATCTCCGACAAGAAAGCTTAAACTGAGTAGCATCGTAGATCCCACACTCGATGCAGAGATCCTGCAATTGGGCCAAGAAGAAATTGCAGAGATGTTCTCCAAGTACAAGTCCAAGTTCGGCGATGTCCCGTCAGCAGACGTGGAACCCAGCGCTGATCAAATATCAGCAATCAAACAGCTCCTTACCAGCGGAGCTCTGCCGTACATAGACATGTCAATCTTCGGGCCGCATGCCATCCGGTCGCTGCGCAGGAGTGTGTTCTCCTCCTACACCCTGAATGCGGCGACTGGGGAGTGGTCGAAGAAAGAGAGCCCGGGTCCGGCTACTCTCCAACAATGGGAGAAGAGCTTCAAGACCTACAAGGTGGCTATGCTCTTGTTGGAGGCTGCAGATGCCGAGAGACTGGAGGGCTACCTAGAACATAAAAAGGACCTCCATGCGCAGTTCGGACAGGAAGCATGGGGCATCATATACCGTGCAGACGTCAGGATGAGAAGTGAGTTCCAAGAGCGGATCCGCAGAGCCCTGGATGAGGACCCAAAGTATGGGTACACTAGGGCCTCTCCATGGAGCTCAGTCTTTGCGGCAACGGTCAGGGAGTCGGACTTTTGGTCCAAAGAAGTGGCGACGCCAGCCACGCTCCTTCTGGCCCGCAACAAACAGCTGGCACCTGAAGAGAGCAGCTCTCAAGAGGGTCGCCCACAGAAGCGCAAGTCTCGGCAGCCAGAAGGCACGCAGAAGAAGAAGGCCAAGCGCAAGTACACAGGTGAGGATAGATCACGTTGGGACGCAGAACAGTCAAGGTATTCCTTGAACCGAAAAGGGATCCAGATCTGCCAGAAGTACAACAGAGGCGCCTGCGGAAACGGGAAGCCGCAGTCACGATGTGAGAACAATCGTTCACATCAATGTGACAAGTGTCTAGGCCCCCACATGGCCAAAGACTGCAAGGGGCCCAGCTGAAAGTTAGGGATCAAGCTGACTCCAAACAGAGAGGCCCAGCCGAAAGACACGCGGCCACCGCTTCCACGAAGGAAGAGGCCACATGAGGCCATTCCAGTCAGGGACAGGAGGGATCGCCCAGTTTCCCCTTCCAGGTCCCCTGGAGGCACTCATCGGCCGGTGGTGAAGAGACCCAGGTTAGAAGCTGCCCCGAAAAGGGCGAGCCCAGAGAAGGAAGCCGCTTCACACCACAAGAGGCCGAGGCAAGACAGAGACCGGAAGGCACCAAACCCAAGAGAGGAGGAAGAACCCGGAAGCTCAAGTGACTCCAGCTCATCGTCCACATCATCATCCACTACGGTACAAGCAGGGAGAGAGAAGATCCCATCAATGCCGCTGTACGTGGACTACAAGTATGGGGCCACCAACCTGGACCCGCAGCTGTGGGATGACAGGCCCAGGGCCCCCCTGCTCTTCTCAGGGCGCCCGAGGGATGGAGACCTTACCTCCTATCTTCATCACATGGGATGGATAGTGGTGGTGGTCGACAAGCAGGGGCCGACTGCGGCGGACCTTCTGGACACGGAGGTGTGTCGCAAGATCTTCGCGGATATCAGGGCTGGCGTCTTCGACGTAGTGGGCATGGCTACACCTTGCGAAACGGTGTCCCCACTGAGGGAGAATCCGCCGGGCCGGAGACCACTCAGGTCCCTACAACATCCGGATGGGCTGCCTCTCAAAAGCCTTTCCTCAGAGGAGAGAAAGCAGCTCAAGGAGGCGAATCATCTCATCGAATTTTCCACACACGTGACGAGAGAAGTGAGGCGCATCAGAGCGGCCTACTGGATAGAAAATCCAGATCACAAGGAGAAGCTCGACATGTGGAAAACGAGCTGGTTCTAAGAGATGACTGGTCACGCGCTGGTGGAAAAGGCGTTGTTCGACCAATGCCAATTTGGAGCAGAAACAACGAAGCCCACGAGGATTCAGACGGACTCCCTTCCCCTTGGACAAATCAAGGGGAGGAGGTGCAACCATCCTCCGAGGGAATGGACCAGACCAAACGGTGAGACCTACGTTTCACCACATGAGTCCTTGGTCCAGAGGTGGAGGACAGTCAGAGGAGAAAAGGAGCGAGCATCCAAAGCTCTGAGTGAGTACCCGCCGGCCTTGAACAAGGCCTTGGCAGAGGCGATGGAGAAGGCGGACCTTCCCCGCGTGATGAAGCATCGCGAGGGGAGTCTCAGGAAGGCAGCGAAGTGAGGCGTGAGTGCCGGACCAACAGGACCAGTCTTAGAGGACCAAGCGATGAGACAGAGGGAGATTGAGAATGCCGAAGCCATTGGGGGGATGCGCAACCCGCTAAAGTCCATCAGGAGGATCCCAAAATCCGACATGGCAGGCAGGGCCGTTTTCAAGCTTCTCAAGCAAGCAACATCTCACCCCTCTGTCAAATCGCTAGTCGACCAAATTTTAACGGGCGGACAGGCAGCTCCGATTTCAGCTCAGCTTATTGACAAGCTTAGGCAACTGGTATGTTCGTTGTCCCCAGGAACCTTTCAACCTAGTACTGCAAAAGCATGCACACCACTCCAACCTCAGATTTTTGATGCTTGGGGAAGAATAAGTGGGGACCCGGATTCCCCGGTGCTGGCGCAGTGGTTGAGGTCGGGCGCTCCCCTAGGCTTCACCGAACCCATTCCTTGTACGGGCATATTCCCCGTGGTTAAGGAGGTTGAATGGGAAGCTGAGGCAGCAGAACAATTACAAAGGTCATTCGAAAACTGGGATAACCATCCATCTGCCGTCGAGTGGGAAGAAGATCTACACAAACTTATTGATGAGGCTGCATCTAAAGGTTTCTGTTCATTCTACCCCAACATGGCTGCTGCGGAAAGGGAAATCGGAATAAAACCCGTATTAAACAAACTGGGTCTGTTGGTCAAGGAGAAACAAACACCTGAGGGAGTGATTAGGAAGGCACGGATTATTTGGGACATGAGGGAGAGCGGCACAAACAAGCTATGCTCCCAAGGCGAAAGGGTGTTACTGCCGAGGGTCACCGACGCCATTGAGGACGCTTTGGAAATTTTCCGAAAAGGGGGGAAGCCAGCGTTTCTAGCAGTGGACATCCGCGATGCCTTCCACAACATTCCATCGGGTAAAGACAGAGCATTCACTTCAGCTGCATTCAGGGACAAAACTGGCACACTGAAAATTGTGGTTTATGATGTCCTGGTTTTCGGTTCAGTTTCATCTCCAACTTTATGGGGCAGATATGCTGCATGGTTTGGAAGGTCCCTTGCCTCTATCAACCCTGACATCAGACTGCAAACGTATGTGGACGACCCGTTATTCACGTTTGACTGCACGGACCCCTATCACAAGGAAAGGGTGGGGATCTCCCTGCTCTGGTCACAAATAGCCGGGTACCCACTCAAACTGGAGAAGTCTGATTCAGGAACAGAGGTGAAGTGGATAGGAGCCGTTATAAAAGCAGATCACGATAACCACACCATATCTGTAACTATACCTGAAGACAAAGTTGCTGAGCTGAAATCAAAAGTCCAGACCTACCTGAGGAGGCCGGTCATTGGACGAAGACAGCTACAAAGTCTAGCAGGCGCGTTGTCCTTCGTGGCGGGATTGGTCCCTCTCATGAGACCTTTCTTGAACTCCCTGTGGGCTGCACTGGCAACGAATGACGGTCCGAAGCAGACCAGAAATGTTGTCCATGTGCGCCGCATTGGGATAGCCTTACAGTGGATAGACGCCTTGCTGGGAGAAAAGGCAGCTCCGTTCACCAGGGTAGTGAGGGCTTTCAGGCAAGAGACAAAATGCATTATTATTACGGACGCATCAACCAGAGGCTTGGGGGCTATTATGATAGTTGGGGACAGACCAGTCGAGTTCTTCAGCACAATCATACCCCAAGAGTTCATCGTTCGTACTGGTGCACAACCAGGGGACCCCAGCCACATGGCGCTTTGGGAATCCCTGTGCCTCTTACTAGCCGCAAGGACATGGCTGATAAGGTTTCCACTTGGGTCCATCATCCGTGTCAAGTCTGACAACATATCGGCCCTCCACATGTTAGCAAAAGGCAAGGCCAAGTCGCCAGGCTTGGCTATGATCGCCAGAGAAATAGCTTTAGATCAGGCGAAGGGAATATACGAGTTCACAATCCTTCAACATCTGAACACCAAACTCAATAAAGTAGCAGATGCATTGAGCCGGCAGTTTGAACCTTCCCCACCATGTTTTCCGCACGAAGACCTGGGGGCTGCATCACGCATACCCATCCAAGTGGATTCTTCGTTTTGGCATTTACCAAAGGGTAACGCCAGATCTTTCAAAGGGGGGAAAAGTTGTTTGGGGGCATAGGTTTTCACATAAGAGCTGAGGCTGTGCACTGCATGTTTTCTTGGGTAGGTAACACATGAGTTTTGGGCTCGAAATGAAGCGTAGTCTAGGTCCACGGTTTTGGCTGGGCCAGGGAATACCCCAGGCAAAACCAGCCACCCATTCTGCAGGGCTACGCCCATTGCAGGAGGGGCCCGTATATGGGGCCGTCGACCCCGGGCATCCCGAAGCAGCCGCACCATTGGCACAGCCAGGTGTCAAGGCTTACGCTAGGGGCTCGTTAAACGACGCCATAAGGCACGCATCCACAGGTCCGGAAAGGTGTGCAGAACACATCACAAAGAGAGCAAAGGCAGATACATCCAGAGGCCCCTACGAGTCAAGGAAATCAACGTGGTCTGCCTTGGCCAGGGCGGCGGGTTTCTCAGACCCGTTCCGTCTTTCCCCGGACCTCATCAACACGGTGATGGGAGCGATGGGCATGGCCGGCTATAGATCAGCAGAGCTATACATGGACACAGCCAAGCAGATACACATTGAGAGAGGACTGGATTGGACAGCACAGCTTGCCCAGGCCTCTAGGCAAGCCAGAAGGGCGTGCCAAAGGGGCCGAGGGCCAGCCAAACAGGCGCAACCTTTGCCGATGATCGAGCTAGCGAAGCTGAAAGTTCACAAGGACCCAGCAGCTCCTGGAGGACCAATTTTCCCGATGAGGTCCGTCATGTTGGCATCATGGTGGCTCCTTCGTGAAATCGAGGCAAGCTCGGCAGAGAGGTCGTACATCGAAATCGACAAGGTCCAAAGACTTATCCACTGGAAGCTTCCATCCAGTAAGGCGGATTGGCAGGCCCTGGGCGCAACTCGAACGCATTCGTGTAATTGCGAACAGAATGCCCGGCAGCCAGAGTGTCCATACCATGCCATGGTGGAGCACCTAGAGGCAGTGGGAGCTATCAGCGATCGCTGGGTTTTCCCGTCAGCCACAGGTGAGCAGTCATCCAAATGCGGATGGGCCGACACCATGCAAAGCATGGCACAGCAGCTGAATCTTCCTACTCACACAGACACTGGGGCAAGGAGATTCACCGGACACAGCGCCCGGGCAACTGGCGCAGTGTACCTGGCACAGACCCAGATTGAACTCTGGAGGATCCAGCTATTTGGGCGCTGGGGTTCGGAGTGCTTCAGGATATATATCCGTGACGCTCCGCTTCAGCAGCTGCATTCTTTGGCAAAAGAAGCTTCTCTCACAACTTCTTTAGCAGCAGCCCGGGCGGAACTTTCTGCGATCCTCAGCCAGGCGCAAAATTGTTCCCCACCAGCCGCAGCAGTTTCCTTACGGAACCAGTCCGTGGACTGCCTTGCGGACTGCGAGGCTGCAGTGGATATTGCTCCGCAATCGGAGCAGCCAGCTTCAGTGGAGTTTGTGATTAACAGATCTGCCTACGGCAAGATCCACAAGGTAGCCTGTAGTGGACCAACACGTCCTCACTACCTATGGCGCACCCAATGCAACTGGTATTTTGCACGTGGTCACGCAGACTATGCACTTGCAAGTCAAGCGGACCCAGACAAGCCAGAATACAACAAATGTTTTAAGCCCAAGCAACAGAAATTGGATGATGAGTCCTCTACCTCTTCATCATCCTCATCGGAGTCATAATGCGCTCGAACGCAGAATGGACCAGGTTGGCATCATGGACTCAATCAAGCACATGTTTGACTCAGCCAGAGTGGGACACTTCAAAAGTGATCCTAGCTAGCTGAGTGAGTCACACTCATGGCCAACGTTTACAAAAGGTGCGTCCGGCTCCGATGCACATTTCTATTGCTGCTCTCATGGTCTTAAAGAGTTGTTGGGTGAAACAGTGAAGCTGTTGTTGTAACAACTAAATGACATGAGAGGGGTGTTTGTGGGAGGGAAACCCTTGAACCAGCTTGGCCTGGGGCCATTTTGGCTCAAGGGTGTGATTTTGAAATCCCCACCCGCCCTCTCCTAACTCAAAAGGGGAGGGAAGCACATGTTTGACTCAGCCAGAGTGGGACACTTCAAAAGTGATCCTAGCTAGCTGAGTGAGTCACACTCATGGCCAACGTTTACAAAAGGTGCGTCCGGCTCCGATGCACATTTCTATTGCTGCTCTCATGGTCTTAAAGAGTTGTTGTACTGTTTCTTGATACTTTTTTGGTCTGCGCTCTCCGCTTCTGATTTGGTCTCGCAATCACCCAAAGATGGAACTGGTCCGGAGGTAACAGATCCTTTATTAATGTATATTTATATTACCTTCTAGTAAGTTAACATAGACCCTGCCAGATAGGGGTTGGAAGATTAGTTTCCATTAAAAATTGGTGATTCTCAGGGTCTATGTTAATTTACCAGAGGGTATTGATTTATTTTTTTGAGGAACTCTATGAAGCTAATCCCACACGGGAAATGGTGAAATGGATTGAAATGGTGTGCTGCAGGTCCTTTACCCTGATGCTCTTGAGGATGGCTGGGAGCTTTTCCACACAGAAGAAGGCTGCCTCAGCAAACGGAGAGATGGTAGGGGCTTCGGCGTGTGAGGGATGAACAAAGTTTAGAGCTTAAGGCCTTATATATATATATACATATATAATGAATCATATATATATATATTATAATATAACAATATATATGTATATATATAATGTATAGATACGCGTGTGTGTGTATATATATATATATTCTTGTTCGCTCAGAATGTCATTGTCATTTTGGTCCTGTCTTCCTTACCTGTGCACAGTATGAATTGCAGGTCAGAGGTGGTTCTGGCAAGAAACAACGGGCCGTTACTTCTTTGAGGCCGGGCCAAAACGACTGCCTCACTGCCTCATCATGTTAACTTGCGAGGGTGAAACAGGAAGTGCCTCATCATTTTTTTCAGAGATCATAGGAAAAAAGTGGAAACCACCGGTTCATGTTTTTTCCATCCCTTTCGTGGTATGCTATGCTTTAATGAATTTACTGGATCATTCTAAATTCAACATGAGATATTCGAAATGAACAAAATTCCAGTGATTTGGTACCTTGCAGTTTTTTCGTTACAGGAAACCACCGACGACAAGTGATCCAGGGACATCCAGGGACTGCTTTAGAGCTGCTCAGCACAGATGGCGATGGCTGTGGGCCTTCGCGGTAGATACTCTTTAAAACCACGACATGAAGAATCGACAATGGCTATTCACACTGGAAAAAACATCCGCAGATGGAGTTACTATATGTTGCCATCAGTTTCTTCTTATGGATCTTATGGAGGATTATATATAGAGAGTATATATAATTAATAGTACTTAGCCCTCTAAAATCAAATCGATGAAATATGATGCAACTAAGTGGGCTGCCGTTGGTTTTGGATGGTTTTGGCATTAATGAGAAGCAGTTGCGCTGTTGCTATGGATCAGCCCTCCAAGATCATGAATGTACGAATCTCTACAAGTACAGATATGATCCAATATGAGCCTCGCTATACCGACCGGCCGAAAGATAGAATATTTTTCACTACCAGACACGCGAGTGAGAAAATTACCATCGGCCTCCCACTCGGAAAAAACACCACAAGATAGAATATTAATATAGCATATTCACAAAAAATCACAGAACACCCCCTTGAATATTCTATCTTGTCAATTTCGTGCATGCCTGTGCAGAAAACTACTGATGATTTTTGAAGCAACAGGACGCCAAGTCAACATGCCAGAAAAAACAAGGAAACACGAAGAACAAATTAAAAGCAAGAACAATGAAAAATGATGAACAAGAGAGAAAAAAGCAAGAAAACATGATGAAACAGAGTGAAAAAAAAACAATGAAACATGATGAAAAAGAGATAAAAAAACAAGGAAACATTATGAACAATACAGAAACAACAATGAAAAATGATGAAAAATAATGAAAAAACAATGACAAATGATGAAAAAAGGGTCCAAAAACAATGAAAAATGATGAAAAAGAGAGAACAAACAATGAAACATGATGAAAAAGAGAGAAATAAACACACAATGAAAAATGATGAAAAAGAGAGAAAAAACAATGAACACGTATGAAGAATAGAGAAAAAACAATGAACAATGATGAAAAAGAGAGAACAACCAATGAGACATGATGAAAAAGATAGAAAAAACAATGAAAATGATGAACACGGGAGAAAAAACAAGAAAAAATGATGAAAACGAGTGAACAAAACACTCAAACATGAGAGAAAAAACACTGAAAAATGATGAAAAAAGGTACAAAAAACAATGAACAATGATGACCAAGAGAGAAAAAACACGAAACACTGATGAAAAAGATTGAAAAAACAATGAAACATGATGAAAAAGAGAAAACAAAAAAAACAATGAAAAATGATGAAAAAGAGAGAAACAAAAACAATGAAAAATGATTAAACATGATGAACATGTTTTTCATTGTTTTTGTTCTCTCTTTTTGATCATTTTTCATTGTTGTTTCTCTAGTGTTCATAATTTTTCATTGTTTTTTCTTCTCTTTTTCATCATTTTTCATTGTTTTGTTCTCTCTTTTTCGTGATTTTCATTGTTTTTTCTTCTCTTTTTCATCATTGTTCATTGTTGTTTCTCTATTTTTCATCATTTTGCATTGTTTTTTTCTCTCTTTTTCATCATGTTTCATTGTTTGTTCTCTCTTTTTCATCATTTTTCATTGGTGTTTCTCTATTTTTCATTATTTTTCATTGTTGTATCCTCTATTTTTCATAATATTTCATTGTGTTTCCTTTCTTTTTAAACATTTTTCATTGTTGTTTCTCTATTTTTCATCATGTTTCCTTGTTTTTTCTCTCTTTTTCATCATGTTTCATTGTTTTTTTCACTCTTTATCATCATTTGTTCTTGTTTTTTTTTCTCTATTTTTCATCATGTTTCATTGTTTGTTCTCTCTTTTTCATCATTTTTCATTGTTCTTCGTCTCTTTTTCATAATGTTTCATTGTTTGTTTCTCTCTTTTTCATCATGTTTCATTGTTATTTTCACTTTTCTTCATC